ACATTTGGTTGTCAGGCGAACGCCAAGTTCCTATGCACCGTCATGAAGAGCCATGAACACAATGGTAGGAAGATCTATGTTTGATATGGGGTTTTCCGAAATTTAGGGACCCTAATATGGTAATTACCCTAAATTGTAGGATCCTTATTATAAGGACCCCAAAAGAAGTTACCCCTCATTTTCGAAACTCCCGTAGCAATCGAAAGGAAGCATGTGCCTACGAGGCGGCCCGGTGGAAAGCGCCGCATTCCGACCTTCCGGGACTCTGGCGACCCCGCTCGCACCTGTGCTGAAACTAGGATGCCCGGTAGTACCCTTATTCCCTTTTTGAAGTCCTAGGTTCCTTATAAAGTTACCCAATACCAAAAAGGGAGCCCTTTTTTTCCTAGGTTACTGGGCATCCTACGAAACGATGTCATGCAGAGCGTGTACTATCGGTGACTTCATAATTAGAATAGGGTTTCGGGGCCCATTATGCCATAATTATCGAAATGAACACCCAAATAGTATAGGTAAGTATTAAGGCCCCTATAGTAGTTGATTCAAGATTTTGCAGGTGAGGCTTTTGGTTGCTCACTGTGTGTGTGTGTGCGCGTGTGTGTCTCTGCGTGTCTGGGCGTATCATATCTGTCTGCATAACCTCTGTGTATTTGTGTGTATACGTACGTACACACAAACATACATGCATATTCATACTATCAGCAATAAGAAACAGTTTTAACTCGACCCCTCTAGTGTGGCCTTGGCAACGAATATGCCCGCAAACTGGTTGCATGGGCTTCCGCAGGGCCTATTTCGGAGCAGGATTCCTGAGCTTCCAGAGTCACGCCAAGCAGTTCTGGAATTGCTGACGGTAATGCGGTATGCTCGAAGCTTCACTACTCATCACTCATCGTGGGGTTAGCTACAGAAAGTCACAGCCGGAAAAGCCTTCGACTCAACATGCTGCAGGCCACAATGTCCTCTTCTTCGCAACATGGTAGGAGAGTGTGTGCACGTCCCGTCCCATCACGGATATCAAGATTCAATGTTGGTTCGTGGACGAGTAGGTTGAGAACCGTCTCGGGTACGGTTGAACTAAGTCAACAGACTTGAGCTGTCGTTTCAGTTGCATGGTGAGCTTTCCATCCGTGGAAGCCGGTAGACCACTCCAAGACCGCTATTTGCATTAAATATGATCTACCCAGAGGCCCCATAGTAGCTCCTGTTTGGGATTACCTCATAAGATTCTTTCTATGAACCCCAAAAAAATATTTTGAGGCCTTAGGGTAAAGTAGACCGTGGTGACCAGCTGACATTCTCCACACTTTAGCAAGAAGTTCTCCGTTTCAGCCATCGATGCAAGGGACTTGTGGGCCGCCTCCAACATCAAAAAAGGAAAAATCACGAACGCCCCTCAACCCACGTTAGGCCCTAAACCCTAGACCCCTGAACCCCTAAACCCCAAATCCTCAAACCATAAACAATTGTGAAGCTTGAGCCCGAAGTTTTGCATCGCAAGGTACCTTCGCCGCTGCAACCTTGACCTCAACGTACCAGCACCACTTTACCCGTGGTCTTTGATGGGCAGCCTTTCGCACCCGATCCCTACACGCACCCTTGAAATTACAATCCTAAGCCCCAAAACCTGAACCCTGAAATCTAGCCCCTCATGTTAACTGTTAACGTTAGTTCCCGCAGGAAGCCCGATCACACAGTGTACAAACTGGCCATTCTTTGCTCTCCCAAGACATCCTAAGGGTTTAGGGTTGAAGGTTTACGGTTTCAACTTCCTTAAGCCTGCGGCCCTTCGAAATGATCCGTTGGGGCTTAAGCAAGGAGGGTTGAAGTTTCCTGCAAATTCGGGGGATACTGTGATCCCAAGGTAGAATATTACACTGTGCTAGACAAATTGTTATATATGATGTATGTTGTTTCATGTCCAAAACATCCAACCACATGCTAAAATCCCGAAGGAACACACGGTGTTATTATGTGTTGTCCTATTCTCTACATACTATATGTGTGTATTGGTATGTATGTATATAAGCGTGTGTATACATATATATATGTGTATATATATATATATATGGGTACGTGTGTCCAGAGCTGACATCGGCAACCGCGGTGTCGGGTCGGTTCATCGTTGGCTGAAGCGCATCTTTTCTGGTTTAGGGATTTAGGGTCTAGGTCAACGAGAGCTCTGGAGAGTCTCCCCTGGAAGTGTAGTTAAGCAAAGCAAGGTAAAGCATCATGTTACGCATAACATGTCATCCCTGACCGAACAAGAGGGATTATCATAAGAGCCATCCGTACTTGGGGTTTGAAGAAGAGGGTGTTTGCAAATCAGAGGTCCGCATTTAGACATTAGTCCAATCGTCCATGGACCTCCGGCCCATCATCCCCCCACAATTTGGCCCTCCTTGCCGCACCGGCAAAGCCGGTTCGATGTAGGTCGTAGCCGCTTGGAACGGCCCCTCCAAAGTCACACTGAGTCTTATTGCCGAGAGCAACTAGCAGAAAGAGCAGCATTTGCGGCGTAGCCGGGGCATGCAATCGTCGCGGCTGTTGCCATGGTTTCAATCAGCACTTGTAGCATCGGCTCTAGCACAGTGGTGACAGGTTGATAGCCAGGGCGGTGAGGGTGGTGATTGTCATGTCAGAATTTTTAACCGTAAGACTCAGCATATCAACATTGCTTACCATTACTACTACTACTACTACTACTACGACTACTACTACTACTACGACTACTACTACTACTACTACGACGACGACTACTACTACTACTAGTACAACTACTACTACTACTACTACTACTACTACTACTACTACTACTACTACTACTACTACTACTACTACTACTACTACTACCGCCACTACCACTACCACTACCACTACCACTACCACTACCACTACCACTACCACTACCACTACCACTACTACTACTACTACTCCTCCTCCTCCTGCTGCTGCTGCTGCTGCTGCTACTACCACAAATAGTAGTAGCAAGGAATATTGTCGATGCCAGCAATACTAGTAACAGCAACTTGTTTTAATGCAAGACCAAGCTCAGTTCTAGTAATGATTCCCAAGTACCGAAAAAGCGAAAGTGTGGTGTGCAAAAACCCAGGCACGATGACAGTCCCTTTGTAATGAGAAAAACAAGAATAGCAACCGAACAAAGCGTTATGAACAGTAGCAAACATCATATGAATAGTAAGAAATAAGACTTACAATCATAGTATAAGCAATAACTGTTAATAATTGTAACCGTGACAGTACTGCGAATAATAATCGTACCAACGAGACATAGAGTCTATCACGAGAAAACTATGATGATGAGGGTGATGGTGGCCACGACGCTCATGGTTGGTAGCCATTCAGTTGCTGCCATGTCTCCTGCATGCACTCCTACAACACTAGGCTTTGGGCTTTCAGGTTTTGGGATTCGGGGTGCAGCATCTAGAGTTTAGGCTTCGCAAGACAGTGAAAGTTAAAGCTGGAGGGTCTACAGCAAGCGTCGCAGATGCTTTGAGGATCCCGAGTGCACTACCTGCAAAACAAGATGGTTCAGGGGTTAGTGTATAGAGGTCTAGGGTTTCAGACAGACAGATCTCATCTTGTACTGAAGAGGTTGTCTTTCTCTGTAGCTGCATTTTGCTGCAAGTGTCGGGAGTGCTAGATGATGCACAATAATGTTTTTGATTGACCTTGCGAGTCAGAGTCATCACTACAATCATCACTGCTCACATAAATTATCGACAACAACAATGGATCGCAGCCAATAGTTGTGGGGTGGTTACTTGCTGACTTGATCATGACGGTGACCGACGAGTCTCCCCCACCGCTATTCCATTTACTGCTACGGGGACGGCCACTGCGCTCGCTGCTGCCGTTGCTGCTACGGCTGTTACTTGGCACAAGGACGTATCCTTGCTACCTCTATGACGGCAACCTCTCCTGTTCTTGTCGTAGATGCAACCGCTGCCACACTGGCACTGCATTGCAGCTGCTGCCATTGACGCTGCTGTTGCTGCTGCTGCTGCTGGTACTACTGCTGCTTGTTCTGCCAGTACTACACCCCTTCCTGCAACTTCGGCTTTCCTGTCTACTTCTACTTCTGATTAATACGACTTGTACGACTACTACTACTACTACTACTACCACTACTACTACTACTACTGCTACTACTACTACTACTACTACTACTACTAGTACTACTTCTACTACTACTACTACTACTACTACTACTTCTACTACTACTACTACTTCTTCTTCTTCTACTACTACTACTACTACTACGATTGCTACCACTACGTTACTGCTTCTACCACTACTGCTACTTCTGCTACCACCACCACCACCACCACCACCGCCGCCGCCGCCGCCGCCGCCACCTCCACCACAGCCACAACCACCACCACCGCTACCACTGCCTCTTCTACTATACTACCACTTTTACGACGACTACTACTGTTACTACTGCTACTACTACTACAACCACCACTGCCACCACTGCCACTACTGGTGCGACTCCTGATGCTGCCACCGCATTGGTTCGTGCCATTGCCATGATCTGGGCAAGAGCCGGGTCGGGTCGGGATTGAGCAGTCATCTTGGGCGAGGAACTGTTGATGATATAAATCCTGCATTACCAATAAAAAAGAATATACCTTAAGGTAATGCAGGGTTTATATCTTCCACCGAATTTCATTGCATGAGCCCCTTTTGATCAATCCGTATAGTGGAGCCTGCACAGCTCAGAGCCTGAGAATTGCGACTCTGCAATGAAGATCGCCTGGGGATGCTATTTCCAGGTGCTGCTGTCCTCAGTGTCTGGGTCAAACTAAGATCACGACAGAGGGAGAGCATAGTTGCCATTTGAGCCGCGGTATTCTCGGGAGGATGTATGCTTTCTAAACGTGGAAGAATCATATTTTGCTGTTATTGCTGCTGACTTGCCTTCACGATGTAAGGTGTCCTCCGACCAGTATAACCTTCTTTTCGGTATGCCAGACATGACTCAGGTGACGGTGACAGGATTCAAGCTTGGAAGCACGATTGTTTCGAACCAATCGGCGGATGCCTTCCCGGACTGTCAGGGCAGCATAATTGAAAAGGTCTACGGTAGCAGTGACTCGGCTGGACGAGCCAAATTGCTTCGGTTGATGATATAAATCCTGCATTACCTTAAGGACCCTAAGCTATGAGAATTATGGTATATTCCTCATTATGGGTATTGCAGGATTTATATCATGAACCGTTCGAGGGTCATTCATAGCTGCTCTCGCAGACGCGTCAGCGCAGTTTGTTGTGTCCACGAACCCTACACCCGACACCAAAAACGGCATGAGATACACAGTGCTGAGCCCGGCAGCATACTAAGAAACTTTAGTAAATATTATGGTTTCCTTATTATGGTAACTTAAGCTATAATATGTTACATCCATTAAATTCCATTAGCCCCTAAACACAGGTGGGTGGCAGTGCAGTTCACTGAGCGGTCCACGGTCCGCAGCAGCAGAGGCAAAGTGCTCGCAAAGTTACGACATCGATGCGGCTGGAGAATTCTGGCAGTGCGGTGTGGACGCCATAACCGACGATCAGTTCCACTGCAAGCACCAAAGCCTTTGCAAGGTGGGTTTTAATCCCGCAGCCGCGTGGGAGCAGCTCCCCGTCGTCGCTGCAGATGTCTTACCGAAGCGAACCGGCAGTGTGATCATTCCTGGCACAGAGATGAAAGCCATGGAAATCGGACGGTTGACAGACAACAAGTTCGCGGCGTGCGGCACGAAGTACAGCGTTGGCCCATGGTTCTGCGCTGTTGTGGAGGATGTGGTCGGTGGCATGATGCTTGGTGATCTCGTGGAAGTGGAAAGCGGTGGCGTGCAAGCTGAGCACATCTTTCCCTGGGCAGCCGCCTAGCAGCTGAGTAGATGGGTAGGTAACATTTACGTTTCTTTGACGCGAAACTCAACAGGTAAGCACTTCTTGGGCGAGGAAGCTCATCTGGGTTCTTGTTAGGGGGTTTATTTAAGTTACCATAATATGGATCCAGAATAATGTGGTTTCCTGATTGCTATTATTAGTAACTTAGATTAAATCCCTTAACAAGAACCCAGTCACCAGCTAAGGATCACAGGCGAAGTTACACTGTACAACTATAATACGGAAACCCCTATATTACTGTCTGTCATTTGAATGGATCTAAAGTCATCCTGTGACCCAAAAGACCTACCCTTTTAAGGAACTATGTATAGAAATCATACTGAGGAACCCTAAAAAGGTAGGTCTTTCCGGCTACAGGATCAGCTAAGGATATATATATATATATATATGCACATATAGAATCCTATAAGGTAATCCCCAAAAGGAGCTACTTTGGGGCCTCTGGGTAAGCTCATCAGCTGAGGATAACAAGGTGATATTCTGCTGGAACCGTGGACACAGTGGTGCATGGTGCCGGCTCATCACTTCGAAGGACCGATGGAGATCAAAGTCAAGCATTTAGGGTAGGGTTTAGAGTTTAGGGTTTGGGGTTTGGGGTTTAAGGTTTAGCGTTTAGAGTAGGGTTATAGAGTTTAGAATTTAGAGGTTAGGGTTTAGGTTTAGAGTTTAGGGTTTAGGGTTTAAGGTTTATAAGTTATAAGGGTCTAGGGGTTAGGCATTAAGGTTTAGGGTTTAAGGTTTAGGGTGTAGGGTGCAGGGGTTTCTTTAGGAATGCTGCAAATAACGCCTGTAAGAAGCGTTGACGTAGTACGTGTTCTATGATCATGACAGTGGAAACTCGCTATCACCATTTCTAGGGACCCCAAAAAGCACATAAGCATAAGCATTTTAGAGGGATATCCGTACCTTATTGGCCTTCATTATAAGGGGCTTTATATGGGATATCCCTATCCTAATTTTTGCTTATGTGCTTTTTTGGGGCCCTAATTTCGCAACAAAGGACCGGACACTCACGGTCGGAAAGAAGGAGGACGATCTCGCTGCACCTGCTTGGTTGACGAAGCCCTGGTATGCAATGATTGTGACTTGTTCGAACCTCTGTTTGTAGGAGCGCACATAGCTAAAGCTGCGCATCCACAACACTAAACCCAAAACCTCAGTACTCTACCTATAGGCCCCAAAGTAGTTCCTTTTTTGGGGTCCATATATAGAATCCTTTAAGGTAGCCCCAAAAAGGAACTACTTTGGGGCCTATGGGTAGAGTTGCATGCTCCTTCTCTACACCTTCGCGCCCTAAACCCCGAAACCTCAAACATGACGCCCTGTCCTTGGTTTGTGGTGGACCCTCAAATTCGGCGACCAAGGAGAAATATGAGGATGGCAAGGGCGTGATTTGCTATCAAAACCGAATCTGGGTTCAGCACCCTAGAGCAGTTTTGCTTTGGTGGTTTCCTTGTCAATACCAAGAAATAGGACACCTGATACCTTCTTCATAACGAGTGATGAAAGTTCTATTGATATGGTTACCAAAATAACTGTTTTGCATGAATGCTGCTAGCGTTTTCACTAGTATTATTACTGTTATGTTTGTTATCATGCCTATCCCTATCATCATAACTATCGTTATTGTTACTGTGACGATTTTTACTCTGAGTTTGCTCTTGCCAGTCTATATATATATATATATTAACTATTTCCTCGTTGTTTCTTATGATTTTGACCAGCAGCTTTTAATTGAATATCCATACTACGTGTCTTTATATTACAGATACCACTCTTGCCGTTTTTCGTTATTGACTTTATTACAAGTCTTAGTATCATTCGTAGAAGTCAGCATCAATTAGTCGTAGCGGTAGTTTGATGGTTACTGTTTGCATACTAGTTTTGTCATTTATTTGTAACTAGTAATTAGTGTTGCTGTGAACGTTTCTTAGTATTACCGCGGTGATTGCTATTATCACTGTCACGATTATTAGTATTGTTGCCATTATGTTTAGTGTATTTCGTGGTTTTCTGCTTACTTAACACTGTTGTTATCATTGTTATCAGTATTTTCCCAGAGATCCCAATACCACTTAATTAAGGAATATACCTTAAATAATACTAGGATCCCTAATATGATTTAAGGCATATATTCTTTAATTAAGGGATATTGGGTTCTCTGGGTTTCTGAAGGGAATGATGGAACGGAGGACTGGAGTGGGCCAAGAACCATGCACTCGCTTGCGGTCTGGTCGCAGAGACGGAGGGCAAACTTCATGTTGGGCAGCTCGCCGAAGCTTCCTAAACCTAAACACCAAACCCAGAAGTACTCATAGCCAGCTGCACCCAACGGCCCAAAAAAGCTAAGCCTAATGCTGTAAAAAACCAACGACGCGGAAAGAGACTATAGGGACCTAAATAACTGCCTACATCATTTTGGGGGTCCTTATTGTCACAAACCTTAATTCTAATTGTTAAGGCCGCTATAGTATAGCCCCCCTTATGGATGCCTTATAGTAACCCTTGAAGGACCCTAAACCCTAAACCCTAAACCCTAAACCCTAAACCCTAAACCCTAAACCCTAAACCCTAAACCCTAAACCCCCCTTAAAGGAACCCTATTCCAAGTGTTAAGGCCCTCATATCAACCGGCTGCGATCCGAGCCCCAAGGGTCCTCACTTAGAGGATCATGGGACTTAGTAAGTGTAGGGTTCCTTAAAGGGATCTATAGGGTTCCTTAAAGGGGTCTATAGGGTTCCTTAAAGGGATCTATAGGGTTCCTTAAAGGGATCTATAGGGTTCCTTAAAGGGATCTATAGGGTTCCTTAAAGGGGTCTATAGGGTTCCTTAAAGGGGTCTATAGGGTTCCTTAAAGGGGTCTATAGGGTTCCTTAAAGGGGTCTATAGGGTTCCTTAAAGGGGTCTATAGGGTTCCTTAAAGGGGTCTATAGGGTTTAGGGAGTACTTAGAGGATCATGGGACTTAGTAAGTAGGTTATAATTGGGGTTATAAGTCCCCTAAGTGGGGTTATCCTAATTATATCCTACTTATAACCTTACTTACTAAGTCCCATGAGCCTTTAAGTAGGCAGATTCTGAGAGACTTCCAATGTGCACCCCGGGCATTGGAAATGGTAGTTTCCGAAAATTAGGAGTTCCTTTGAAGAGATCCTTTAAAGGGTGCCTTAAACGGATCTATAAGGGTTCCATACAGGGTTTAGGGTTTAGAGTTTCCGAAAATTAGGGGGTACCCCATTCTTGGAAACTGGAGATCCTGAAACAGCCCTCCTTGTGTGTTTCTGAGTGTGTGTGTGTGTTACCCATAGGCTCCATTGTACTTCCGTTTTGTGGCTTTTATTTAGGATCCCGAAGGGCAGTCCCAAGAAGGAATTACTATGGAGCCCATGGGTTAAGACCTGCGAATGCTCACTATCACTTTGCTTGTCTTCTGGCAAACCCCATCGGAGTCACTATGGCCTGTCAGCTGTGAAACAGTTGGTAGCTGCTTATATGAATGCATACAGTCACTGCTTAAATTAGGACCTGGCAGAACATACCCCCAACTGGTATGTAGTCATCGCTACTTGTAGAAGCTGACACGGCAGAAGTGGGGAGCAGCCTTCGGCTATATGTGACGGTCTAAAGGTGTTCATCTGGCATCGAGTGTTTGATCGTAGCAGGTGAAGATGCCATGCTACACCAAAGCATTACGAAGGTGAAAGCAGAATACCACAGCAAGCCGCAGCATGTTACATTGGGGCAGCACATGTCCTGCCACAGTTTCGGGAGTAATCGCACAGAGTCTTGACAGTGTCATGACTAGGTTGGTACAGACTGCATTGTAGCAACGAAGGAAGATTACATATCTACCTTCAGCTTCCTGGAGTGGTTCATAATGCATTGCATGGGCATCGTATGTATACGTTGCAAACCAAACACTATATGGCAGCGCTCCAGCACAGAAGGCAAAGACCTGTACCTCATGGTTGTGATCTACATTTGTATAGCACGCAGGAGCAAACCTGTTTACACTTAGGCTGCTTCACGTATTTTTTGTTACCAACCGCATATCCCAGCAGGCTCGCAGCAAGCATCTCAGCGTAGCGAAGTGTCTAGAAAGAATGCTTTTCAGCGCACAGATGGTCAAAGCAACAGCAGGTCTCGATCGTTAGGGTTTAGGGCTCACAGGTTTTCGGGTTTAGGGTTTAAAGGCTGTCGGGTTTATAGGGTTTAGGGTTCATAGGGCTTCCTCAGAGGAGATGAATTGCCGGGAGGAAGCAACTGGCATTTTCGTGAGGGTTGCGCCGGGGTTGCGGTCCAGCACTGCCGGGCCCAATTCCGATGGCAATACGAGTCGCCATATGCATTGAGCCAACTCCGTGGAGATTAGTGGTAATATTAGTTGCTACAGCAAACAGGTTTGCAGGCTTAGGCATCGCATGAAAAAGCTGAGGTTGGGCATGGCCGCATGAATCATTCAATCATTCACGACTAAGACTTCACGGAAGCGAAGCGGCAGCATAAGCAACATACCGAGGCCACTCAAAACGATCGACACTGGAATGACTATGGCATACGTCTACGCGGCTCTCACTCTGGTGGGACCAGGAAAGGTCCTGGCATGCTACCGCCGAGATGAAGCTTGGCCAGCAAGGCAGGACTACTACTGCCGCTTTCTCACAGTTGACGGCGACACCGTCTCGGCGGCTGGGTTCTTCTCAAGGAAGTCTTTGAGTTAGCAAACCAAAGAAACTTCTTTTGCACCCTAAATACCCGTAGAGACCCGTATGAACCCTGCACCCCTAAATCCGTATAGAGACCCTGGGCCCCAAAAAAACCCAAAACCCGAAACACAGGTGGGGGACGTCATGACTATCAAGCAAAAGTCCGACGGACACGGCCATGCGGTGATGATTAGTAAGACCGAGGAGCGGCCTTCTTGTCGTCTCAGAGCTTTCATTAAGAGGCCTTAGGTTCTAGGGCTAGGGGCTTAGGGTCTAGGGGCCCCGTTGCCTGAAGTAGGGCTATTTCTCTGACGCCAAGCAACCTGCATGTTTAACGATCTAGATTATGTTTATCATAAAACCTACAAGGTAGGTTTTGTAGGCTTCAGGTTGGGTACATTGTGCTATATGATATGACCCGAAAAGGGGCGTTACTAATTAACTATACTATTTTGAGGGTTCCTTGCTACATTTAAAAGTGGGTTATACTCCAAAACCCTGTTCTAATTATTAAGGATATATTAAGCGACACAGGCCCTGCTTTGCTCCTCGCGGAATTTGCAGTGCTTCCTGCTCGATGTGGCCGGCTCCGTACCAGTTGTCACCTTTGAAATGGGCATGCCAAATGTCGGCAGCCGCTTAGCTGAGTTCAAGATTTTGGGGCTGTAGACTAGGTAGGCCTTTGGGACATTTTATATTTCCCCTTATTGAGCTTAATAGGACCCTATTTACGAATATTTTTCAGAGGCTTTAAAGGGCCAACCTAGTAGAGTTCTCCATGCTAACATTGATCTGTGCAAGTTGCGTTGCTGCGCTTTTGTCGGATGGTTTTGTGACGAGTTTTGACTGCTGGTCGGACGTAGGGAGGAGACAGAGCCAGGTCAAACGAAATCCCGCCTCACCTAGGTAGGGCTTTGGGGCATTTTATATTTTTCCTTATTGGGCTTAAGCGGATCTTATTTACCAATATTTTTCAAAGGCTTTGAAAGCCCCACCTAGTCACCGAAACTAAGCCCCCCAACCCAGGCCACCGTGTGGGGAGCATGGCGCTCGCGCGTTTATGGAGCGATCGAGCCGTGTACCTTAGATCCCCAATACCTAACCTTCGATCTTTTTGGGTGCTTGTAGATTAGACACAAAAAATTGTAAACATTTTTTATATCTGGAATCGGAAGGTTTAGCATGTTATTTCTGTGGCTTATTGGGGTAGTAAGGTACTGCTGGGGCATCCGTCGTGTCAATGCCGGCCTCGGTAACCCGTACTGCGTTGTCGTCACCTGCAAGGAGGGTTTAGGGTTTAGGGTTTTGTCAGAACACCACACGACTGGGGTTTAGGGTTTTTGGTCTTTAGGGCCACACGCCTCGAACCTCAAGCCGCATGTTTGCAACCTTCACCGGCCAGGACAAAAAGTGTTCCGTGGGCGATAAGTTCCACCCCAATGATTCCGACTCGGAGAATTCTCCAAGGGGACAGGATATCGACACGGTCATGCTGGCACCGGGCAGGGTGGGAACATGCACCCAAGATCTCAACAACGACGGCTATTCCGTTAAGGACAACTATCACAAGGCGGGATGGTGCCTAAACCTTGCACCATCCGAGGCTTTCAGCCTTCTCTCCCACTTTTCCCCCTCTGATCCCTGCAGAAGGGGTGGGGGTTGATCCTAGCAAAACCCAAATGTAGGCGCCAATGGGGCCCGTTATGCTATAAATAGGGCATGGAACCCCCCAAAATAGTACAGGCCATTTTTTAGGCCCCTTTGTTAACCCCCCAATCCCCCACAGTCCTGGCAGCTTGGCCAGGTGAATCCGGTGTGCTCTGTTTTCACGCTCCCACACGGAGCCTAGCAGGAGCCTCAGCGGCGAAAAATCCGAGAATTCTTGTATGGGCGGTTGTCTAAATTACGCGCCCTTTTAGGATTTTAGGGTCCTGTCTATAAGGGTGCCGTACTGTATTGGGGACCTCAAAAGGGACCATAGTTTTGACAACTACCTACATAGGTCGGGCTCATGGAATGCAGGGAACAGATTCAGCAAAGGAGTCGGAATCACCAGAAAGCGTACTCCCATATAGTTCTTGTATATTATACTAGCTTACAGTGTAGCGTAAAATGACCCCACAGCCTTGTTTTCATTCTTAGGCCCCTGTACTGCCCTCGTCTTTGCCACGCTTGTTCTCCCACTCCAAAAGGCTCAAGGAGTCAGATAAACTCTTATATATCCTCTGTTATACCCCCCATAGTAGCCCCCCTCTATGCCCCGCTTTTAAAGAGGTTCAGACTATAGTACATATGGTTAGTTCTTTAATTCGGATCCCTGTTAGTGTCCTGCTTTGGGGGTTCTTATAAGGTAGTCGATTCTGAAAGTTTCAACTTTTACTCTCCTGGGTTTTGGGCCAGTAAGAAAAAAGGACCCAAATTTCGAGAACTACACATCTATTCAGGCTCTGGCGCCGAACTATACTATATCAGGCTTTGGGTTATGTGGGAGTTTCCGAAAATAGGGGGCCCTAAGATAGTACTCTAAATAGTCGGATGCTCATTTTTAGGACCCCAAAATAAGGTACCCCTATTTTTGGGAAACTCCCATGTTGATCCTTGCAGTACCATAAGGGCCCAAGTGCCAATTACAGTAGGTAGGTAATTGGGTCCCAAAAATGTAGTTGGGGGAGGGTGGTCTGCCGGTTTAGGTTTAGGGTTTAGGGTTTTGCTGCCAGAGAAGCTGCAATAGATCGGTAATCGTCTTCCCTATCGTCCTTCTAGAATTAGACCATATAGTTCAATGCCAATATCCTTCCCTAAAGGTTGAGGTGCATATATTCTGTTCCCCAGCTCGTGCCGACCCAATATATCAGTGGGATGTGCTGTCATTTACAGCTGGCAACGACAGACAATATGGCGGTCTTGTTGATGCCACGTGTCCCTGTGGTGCTGGCTTGTGTATCGTGTCTGTGGCTAAACCCTGTAAACCCTAAACCCTAAGCTGCTACGCAGAAACTGCCCTGAAGGCCCTGAACTGCCCACAGCCACAACCACCACCACCGCTACCACTGCCTCTTCTACTATACTACCACTTTTACGACGACTACTACTGTTACTACTGCTACTACTACTACAACCACCACTGCCACCACTGCCACTACTGGTGCGACTCCTGATGCTGCCACCGCATTGGTTCGTGCCATTGCCATGATCTGGGCAAGAGCCGGGTCGGGTCGGGATTGAGCAGTCTTCTTGGGCGAGGAACTGTTGATGATATAAATCCTGCATTACCAATAAAAAGGAATATACCTTAAGGTAATGCAGGGTTTATATCTTCCACCGAATTTCATTGCATGAGCCCCTTTTGATCAATCCGTATAGTGGAGCCTGCACAGCTCAGAGCCTGCGCTGTGCGACTCTGCAATGAAGATCGCCTGGGGATGCTATCTCCAGGTGCTGCTGTCCTCAGTGTCTGGGTCAAAGTAAGATCACGACAGAGGGAGAGCATAGTTGCCATTTGAGCCGCGGTATTCTCGGGAGGATGTATGCTTTCTAAACGTGGAAGAATCATATTTTGCTGTTATTGCTGCTGACTTGCCTTCACGATGTAAGGTGTCCTCCGACCAGTATAACCTTCTTTTCGGTATGCCAGACATGACTCAGGTGACGGTGACAGGATTCAAGCTTGGAAGCACGATTGTTTCGAACCAATCGGCGGATGCCTTCCCGGACTGTCAGGGCAGCATAATTGAAAAGGTCTACGGTAGCAGTGACTCGGCTGGACGAGCCAAATTGCTTCGGTTGATGATATAAATCCTGCATTACCTTAAGGACCCTAAGCTATGAGAATTATGGTATATTCCTCATTATGGGTATTGCAGGATTTATATCATGAACCGTTCGAGGGTCATTCATAGCTGCTCTCGCAGACGCGTCAGCGCAGTTTGTTGTGTCCACGAACCCTACACCCGACACCAAAAGCGGCATGAGATACACAGTGCTGAGCCCGGCAGCATACTAAGAAACTTTAGTAAATATTATGGTTTCCTTATTATGGTAACTTAAGCTATAATATGTTACATCCATTAAATTCCATTAGCCCCTAAACACAGGTGGGTGGCAGTGCAGTTCACTGAGCGGTCCACGGTCCGCAGCAGCAGAGGCAAAGTGCTCGCAAAGTTACGACATCGATGCGGCTGGAGAATTCTGGCAGTGCGGTGTGGACGCCATAACCGACGATCAGTTCCACTGCAAGCACCAAAGCCTTTGCAAGGTGGGTTTTAATCCCGCAGCCGCGTGGGAGCAGCTCCCCGTCGTCGCTGCAGATGTCTTACCGAAGCGAACCGGCAGTGTGATCATTCCTGGCACAGAGATGAAAGCCATGGAAATCGGACGGTTGACAGACAACAAGTTCGCGGCGTGCGGCACGAAGTACAGCGTTGGCCCATGGTTCTGCGCTGTTGTGGAGGATGTGGTCGGTGGCATGATGCTTGGTGATCTCGTGGAGGTGGAAAGCGGTGGCGTGCAAGCTGAGCACATCTTTCCCTGGGCAGCCGCCTAGCAGCTGAGTAGATGGGTAGGTAACATTTACGTTTCTTTGACGCGAAACTCAACAGGTAAGCACTTCTTGGGCGAGGAAGCTCATCTGGGTTCTTGTTAGGGGGTTTATTTAAGTTACCATAATATGGATCCAGAATAATGTGGTTTCCTGATTGCTATTATTAGTAACTTAGATTAAATCCCTTAACAAGAACCCAGTCACCAGCTAAGGATCACAGGCGAAGTTACACTGTACAACTATAATACGGAAACCCCTATATTACTATCTGTCATTTGAATGGATCTAAAGTCATCCTGTGACCCAAAAGACCTACCCTTTTAAGGAACTATGTATAGAAATCATACTGAGGAACCCTAAAAAGGTAGGTCTTTCCGGCTACAGGATCAGCTAAGGATATATATATATATATATATGCACATATAGAATCCTATAAGGTAATCCCCAAAAGGAGCTACTTTGGGGCCTCTGGGTAAGCTCATCAGCTGAGGATAACAAGGTGATATTCTGCTGGAACCGTGGACACAGTGGTGCATGGTGCCGGCTCATCACTTCGAAGGACCGATGGAGATCAAAGTCAAGCATTTAGGGTAGGGTTTAGAGTTTAGGGTTTAGGGTTTGGGGTTTAAGGTTTAGCGTTTAGAGTAGGGTTATAGAGTTTAGAATTTAGAGGTTAGGGTTTAGGTTTAGAGTTCAGGGTTTAGGGTTTAAGGTTTATAAGGGTCTAGGGGTTAGGGATTAAGGTTTAGGGTTTAAGGTTTAGGGTGTAGGGTGCAGGGGTTTCTTTAGGAATGCTGCAAATAACGCCTGTAACAAGCGTTGACGTAGTACGCGTTCTATGATCATGACAGTGGAAACTCGCTATCACCATTTCTAGGGACCCCAAAAAGCACATAAGCATAAGCATTTTAGAGGGATATCCGTACCTTATTCGCCTTCATTATAAGGGGCTTTATATGGGATATCCCTATCCTAATTTTTGCTTATGTGCTTTTTTGGGGCCCTAATTTCGCAACAAAGGACCGGACACTCACGGTCGGAAAGAAGGCGGACGATCTCGCTGCACCTGCTTGGTTGACGAAGCCCTGGTATGCAATGATTGTGACTTGTTCGAACCTCTGTTTGTAGGAGCGCACATAGCTAAAGCTGCGCATCCACAACACTAAACCCAAAACCTCAGTACTCTACCTATAGGCCCCAAAGTAGTTCCTTTTTTGGGGTCCATATATAGAATCCTTTAAGGTAGCCCCAAAAAGGAACTACTTTGGGGCCTATGGGTAGAGTTGCATGCTCCTTCTCTACACCTTCGCGCCCTAAACCCCGAAACCTCAAACATGACGCCCTGTCCTTGGTTTGTGGTGGACCCTCAAATTCGGCGACCAAGGAGAAATATGAGGATGGCAAGGGCGTGATTTGCTATCAAAACCGAATCTGGGTTCAGCACCCTAGAGCAGTTTTGCTTTGGTGGTTTCCTTGTCAATACCAAGAAATAGGACACCTGATACCTTCTTCATAACGAGTGATGAAAGTTTTATTGATATGGTTACCAAAATAACTGTTTTGCATGAATGCTGCTAGCGTTTTCACTAGTATTATTACTGTTATGTTTGTTATCATGCCTATCCCTACCATCATAACTATCGTTATTATTATTGTGACGATTTTTACTCTGAGTTTGCTCTTGCCAGTCTATATATATATATATATATATTAACTATTTCCTCGTTGTTTCTTATGATTTTGACCAGCAGCTTTTAATTGAATGTCCATACTACGTGTCTTTATATTACAGATACCACTCTTGCCGTTTTTCGTTATTGACTTTATTACAAGTCTTAGTATCATTCGTAGAAGTCAGCATCAATTAGTCGTAGCGGTAGTTTGATGGTTACTGTTTGCATACTAGTATTGTCATTTATTTGTAACTAGTAATTAGTGTTGCTGTGAACGTTTCTTAGTATTACCGCGGTGATTGCTATTATCACTGTCACGATTATTAGTATTGTTGCCATTATGTTTAGTGTATTTCGTGGTTTTCTGCTTACTTAACACTGTTGTTATCATTGTTATCACTATTTCCCAGAGATCCCAATACCACTTAATTAAGGAATATACCCTAAATAATACTAGGATCCCTAATATGATTCAAGGCATATTCCTTAATTAAGGGATATTGGGTTCTCTGGGTTTCTGAAGGGAATGATGGAACGGAGGACTGGAGTGGGCCAAGAACCATGCACTCGCTTGCGGTCTGGTCGCAGAGACGGAGGGCAAACTTCATGTTGGGCAGCTCGCCGAAGCTTCCTAAACCTAAACACCAAACCCAGAAGTACTCATAGCCAGCTGCACCCAACGGCCCAAAAAAGCTAAGCCTAATGCTGTAAAAAACCAACGACGCGGAAAGATACTATAGGGACCTAAATAACTGACTACATTTTGGGGGTCCTTATTGTCACAAACCTTATTCTAATTATTAAGGCCGCTATAGTATAGCCCCCCTTATGGATGCCTTATAGTAACCCTTGGAGGACCCCTTAAAGGAACCCCTAAACCCTAAACCCTAAACCCTAAACCCTAAACCCTAAACCCTAAACCCTAAACCCTAAACCCCCCTTAAAGGAAGCCTATTCCAAGTGTTAAGGCCCTCATATCAACCGGCTGCGATCCGACCCCCAAGGGTCCTCACTTAGAGGATCATGGGACTTAGTAAGTGTAGGGTTCCTTAAAGGGATCTATAGGGTTCCTTAAAGGGGTCTATAGGGTTCCTTAAAGGGGTCTATAGGGTTCCTTAAAGGGGTCTATAGGGTTTAGGGAGTACTTGGAGGATCATGGGACTTAGTAAGTAGGTTATAATTGGGGTTATGAGTGGGGTTATCCTAATTATATCCTACTTATAACCTTACTTACTAAGTCCCATGAGCCTTTAAGTAGGCAGATTCTGAGAGACTTCCAATGTGCACCCCGGGCATTGGAAATGGTAGTTTCCGAAAATTAGGAGTTCCTTTGAAGAGATCCTTTAAAGGGGTGCCTTAAACGGATCTATAAAGGTTCCATACAGGGTTTAGGGTTTAGAGTTTCCGAAAATTAGGGGGTACCCCATTCTTGGAAACTGGAGATCCTGAAACAGCCCTCCTTGTGTGTTTCTCTGTGTGTGTGTGTTACCCATAGGCTCCATTGTAGTTCCGTTTTGTGGTTTATATTTAGGATCCCGAACGGCAGTCCCAAGAAGGAATTACTATGGAGCCCATGGGTTTAGACCTGCGAATGCTCACTATCACTTTGCTTGTCTTCTGGCAAACCCCATCGGAGTCACTATGGCCTGTCAGCTGTGGAACAGTTGGTAGCTGCTTATATGAATGCATACAGTCACTGCTTAAATTAGTACCTGGCAGAACATACCCCCAACTGGTATGTAGTCATCGCTACTTGTAGAAGCTGACACGGCAGAAGTGGGGAGCAGCCTTCGGCTATATGTGACGGTCTAAAGGTGTTCATCTGGCATCGAGTGTTTGATCGTAGCAGGTGAAGATGCCATGCTACACCAAAGCATTACGAAGGTGAAAGCAGAATACCACAGCAAGCCGCAGCATGTTACATTGGGGCAGCACATGTCCTGCCACAGTTTCGGGAGTAATCGCACAGAGTCTTGACAGTGTCATGACTAGGTTGGTACAGACTGCATTGTGGCAACGAAGGAAGATTACATATCTACCTTCAGCTTCCTGGAGTGGTTCATAATGCATTGCATGGGCATCGTATGTATACGTTGCAAACCAAACACTATATGGCAGCGCTCCAGCACAGAAGGCAAAGACCTGTACCTCATGGTTGTGATCTACATTTGTATAGCACACAGGAGCAACACTGTTTACACTTAGGCTGCTTCACGTATTTTTTGTTTCCAACCGCATATCCCAGCAGGCTCGCAGCAAGCATAGGCTACCAGGCATCTCAGCGTAGCGAAGCGTCTAGAAAGAATGCTTTTCAACGCACAGATGGTCAAAGCCACAGCAGGTCTCGATCGTTAGGGTTTAGGGCTCACAGGTTTTCGGGTTTAGGGTTTAAAGGCTGTCAGGTTTATAGGGTTTAGGGTTCATAGGGCTTCCTCAGAGGAGATGAATTGCCGGGAGGAAGCAACTGGCATTTTTGTGAGGGTTGCGCCGGGGTTGAGGTCCAGCACTGCCGGGCCCAATTCCGATGGCAATACGAGTCGCCATATGCAACTCTCTTGAGCCAACTCCGTGGAGATTAGTGGTATTATTAGTTGCTACAGCAAACAGGTTTGCAGGCTTAGGCATCGCATGAAAAAGCTGAGGTTGGGCATGGCCGCATGAATCATTCAATCATTCACGACTAAGACTTCACGGAAGCGAAGCGGCAGCATAAGCAAAATACCGAGGCCACTCAAAACGATCGACACTGGAATGACTATGGCATACGTCTACGCGGCTCTCACTCTGGTGGGACCAGGAAAGGTCCTGGCATGCTACCGCCGAGATGAAGCTTGGCCAGCAAGGCAGGACTACTACTGCCGCTTTCTCACAGTTGACGGCGACACCGTCTCGGCGGCTGGGTTCTTCTCAAGGAAGTCTTTGAGTTAGCAAACCAAAGAAACTTCTTTTGCACCCTAAATACCCGTAGAGACCCGTATGAACCCTGCACCCCTAAATCCGTATAGAGACCCTGAGCCCCCGAAAACCCCAAAACCCGAAACACAGGTGGGGGACGTCATGACTATCAAGCAAAAGTCCGACGGACACGGCCATGCGGTGATGATTAGTAAGACGGAGGAGCGGCCGCCTTGTCGTCTCAGAGCTTTCATTAAGAGGCCTTAGGTTCTAGGGCGAGGGGCTTAGGGTCTAGGGGCCCCCGTTGCCTGAAGTAGGGCTATTTCTCTGACCCCAAGCAACCTGCATGTTTAACGATCTAGATTATGTTTATCATAAAACCTACAAGGTAGGTTTTGTAGGCTTCAGGTTGGGTACATTGTGCTATATGATATGACCCGAAAAGGGGCGTTACTAATTAACTATCCTATTTTGAGGGTTCCTGGATTCCTTGCTACATTTAAAAGTGGGTTATACTCCAAAACCCTGTTCTAATTATTAAGGATATATTGAGCGACACAGGCCCTGCTTTGCTCCTCGCGGAATACCCAGTGCTTCCTGCTCGATGTGGCCGGCTCCGTACCAGTTGTCACCTTTGAAATGGGCATGCCAAATGTCGGCAGCCGCTTAGCTGAGTTCAAGATTTTGGGGCTGTAGACTAGGTAGGCCTTTGGGACATTTTATATTTCCCCTTATTGGGCTTAATAGGACCCTATTTACGAATATTTTTCAGAGGCTTTAGAGGGCCAACCTAGTAGAGTTCTCCATGCTACCATTGATCTGTGCGAGTTGCGTTGCTGCGCTTTTGTCGGATGGTTTTGTGACGAGTTTTGACTGCTGGTCGGACGTAGGGAGGAGACAGAGCCAGGTCAAACGAAATCCCGCCTCACCTAGGTAGGGCTTTGGGACATTTCATATTTTTCCTTATTGGGCTTAAGAGGATCTTATTTACTAATATTTTTCAAAGGCTTTGAAAGCCCCACCCAGTCACCGAAACTAAGCCCCCCAACCCAGGCCACCGTGTGGGGAGCATGGCGCTCGCGCGTTTATGGAGCGATCGAGCCGTGTACCTTAGATCCCCAATACCTAACCTTCAATCTTTTTGGGTGCTTGTAGATTAGACACAAAAAATTGTAAACATTTTTTATATCTGGAATCGGAAGGTTTAGCATGTTATTTCTGTGGCTTATTGGGGTAGTAAGGTACTGCTGGGGCATCCGTCGTGTCAATGCCGGCCTCGGTAACCCGTACTGCGTTGTCGTCACCTGCAAGGAGGGTTTAGGGTTTAGGGTTTTGTCAGAACGCCACACGACTGGGGTTTAGGGTTTTTGGTCTTTAGGGCCACACGCCTCGAACCTCAAGCCGCATGTTTGCAACCTTCACCGGCCAGGACAAAAAGTGTTCCGTGGGCGATAAGTTCCACCCCAATGATTCCGACTCGGAGAATTCTCCAAGGGGGCAGGATATCGACACGGTCATGCTGGCACCGGGCAGGGTGGGAACATGCACCCAAGATCTCAACAACGACGGCTATTCCGTTAAGGACAACTATCACAAGGCGGGATGGTGCCTAAACCTTGCACCATCCGAGGCTTTCAGCCTTCTCTCCCACTTTTCCCCCTGATCCCTGCAGAAAGGGGGGGGGGGTTGATCCTAGCAAAACCCAAATGTAGGCGCCTTAATGAATAGAATCGGGTTTTGGGGCCCATTATGCTATAAATAGGGCATGGAACCCCCCAAAATAGCACAGGTCATTTTTTAGGCCCCTTTGTTAACCCCCCAATCCCCCACAGTCCTGGCAGCTTGGCCAGGTGAATCCGGTGTGCTCTGTTTTCACGCTCCCACACGGAGCCTAGCAGGAGCCTCGTTTCAAGGACCAGGCGAAAAATCCGAGAATTCTGGTATGGGTGGTTGTCTAAATTACGCGCCCTTTTAGGATTTTAGGGTCCTGTCTATAAGGGTGCCGTACTGTATTGGGGACCTCAAAAGGGACCATGGTTTTGACAACTACCTACATAGGTCGGGCTCATGGAATGCAGGGAACAGATTCACCAAAGGAGTCGGAATCACCAGCAAGCGTACTCCCATATAGTTCTTGTATATTATACTAGCTTACAGTGTAGCGTAAAATGACCCCACAGCCTTGTTTTCATTCTTTTGGCCCCTGTACTGCCCTAGTCTTTGCCACGCTTGTTCTCCCACTCCAAAAGGCTCAAGGAGTCAGATAAACTCTTATATATCCTCTGTTATACCCCCCATAGTAGCCCCCTTCTATGCCCCGCTTTTAAAGAGGTTCAGACTATAGTACATATGGTTAGTTCTTTAATTAGGATCCCTGCTAGTGTCCTGCTTTGGGGGTTCTTATAAGGTAGTCGATTCTGAAAGTTTCAACTTTTCCTCTCCTGGGTTTTGGGCCAGTAAGAAAAAGGGACCCTAATTTCGAGAACTACACATCTATTCAGGCTCTGGCGCCGAACTATACTATATCAGGCTTTGGGTTATGTGGGAGTTTCCGAAAATAGGGGGCCCTAAGATAGTACTCTAAATAGTCGGATGCTCATTTTTAGGACCCCAAAATAAGGTACCCCTATTTTTCGGAAACTCCCATGTTGATCCTTGCAGTACCATAAGGGCCCAAGTGCCAATAACAGTAGGTAGGTATGTGGGTCCCAAAAATGTAGTTGGGGGAGGGTGGTCTGGCCGTTTAGGTTTAGGTTTAGGGTTTAGGGTTTAGGGTTTAGGGTTTAGGGTCTAGGGTCTAGGGTTTAGGGTTTAGGGTTTTGCTGCCAGAGAAGCCGCAATAGATCGATAATCGTCTTCCCTATCGTCCTTCTAGAATTAGACTCTTAGACCATATAGTTCAATGCCAATATCCTTCCCTAAAGGTTGAGGTGCACATATTCTGTTCCCCAGCTCGTGCCGACCCAATATATGGTGCCGCGTCGCCGCGTCGCAGGCCCCCCCCCCCCCCCCCCCCCCATGGTATGCCCCCCCCCCTCCCCCGCCCCCCCGAAGCCAGGCGTCCCGTCCAATCAAACAGTCACACGTCATCCGCGCAACTCCCCCCCAAGCCAGGCCTCGCCTCTCGCCTTGGCAATCGGGGGTGGGTGCGGGAGGGATAACCCACAATAGTGGAACCACAAGACGGCGAACCACAGGGGCGGGGTGGGGAAGGATAATCAACACAGGGAACCACCGGGCCCCTTCCCTTGCCCTCTCTTCGAGCACAAATGAGAATGTTGTGCGCAATGATGTTGATGTGCTAGTCCCAGTGTGGCTATTGGTGGTACCTTTGCTCTCATGTTGCTCTGGGCTTCGGCACCGCATGTTCATCGCTTTATCTAGTTGAAAACCGTGCTTGGCTTGTGATGTTCTTGCGCAAACCATATAATATCGACCGTTGTCATTCCAAGCCAAGTTTCGGTTGGGTTCGCTACAAGTAAGCTTGAGCACGTATTTCATTGGTTTTCATTCGGGACTTTTGAGCAAGGGACCTGATGAGAGTGCGGATGGGGATCATGAGCACCATCTTCGTCATTATCATCACCATCATATTCATCACTATCATTGGCTTTGGAGCTCAGGGGGGGCAGGGGGGAACCCACACCACAGGGAACCACAGGGGGGAAGGCGGGGATACCATGGGGTGGGGGGGGGAGGGGGGGCCTAGCAGCGCTGCACCATATATCAGTGGGATGTGCTGTCATTTACAGCTGGCAACGACAGACATATGGCGGTCTTGTTGATGCCACGTGTCCCTGTGGTGCTGGCTTGTGTATCGTGTCTGTGGCTAAACCCTGTAAACCCTAAACCCTAAGCTGCTACGCGGAAACTGCCCTGAAGGCCCTAATCTGCATGTCACTCGACAATTCATGCACTAAACTCTAGACTCTAGACCCTAAACCCCTCCTAGGCCCTTGCTTGTGAGTGGGAAAAATATGCTGTTCATCATCTTCCTCGCCTTGGGCTCACAGCCAGACATTCAGTTGTAGCATGGTTCGGGGTTTAGGGTGTAGGCGTTAGTGTTTGGGGTTTCGGTTCGGGGTTTAGGGTTATTGGAAGAACCTGCATGAGCCTTGTGAGCGACAGATTTCACATCGGGTGAAGCCCAGACCTTCTAGCTGCTCCTTGGGCTTTATCCTAGTCTGCCGACAGCCCTTCTTTCGGCGAAACCTCGTGGCACAGAGGCGGTTTAGGCATAGGTTCGTATGGTCTGGTTGTGTGGAAAGTTAGGAGAAACAGTCGATTTTGTGCGGATCTTTGCGCCAGCATGACGGAGTCGGCAGCTGTCGTGCAAGCAAAGCGCTTTTGTTGCTCTGCTCCTCGTCCTAACATTGGACTACCAAAACCTGGTTACGCCTTCCTCGGGTCCTTGTAAACTTGTATTGGGTGCGCTATCTTAAGAACTTACAAAAGGGGAAAGGTCAGCTCCCTAACCGAGATTGAACCCGTTCCGGATGCACATGCTGAGCAAACCCGTTTCAGGATTCGTATAAAGGGAGTAGGGAGGCCGAGGCCTCTAATTATGACACCCTTGATGCACAACAAGTTGACGGAGATCTGACAACAGGAGGTGGGGAATGCTTTTCCATGATTCCGGTGAAACCTCCCTATAGAACCCTAAACCCCTACACCCTAAACCCCAAAACCCTAGACCCCAAACCCTAAACCCACACTCCCTCCGGGCAAGCCGCGATGGCGACAGGATTTCTTCGTAACCGGATAGGTCGGCCCCGCCTAGTGGTCAGACAGATGTCTCCATTCTGGCTCCTTTTATCGGCTACCTTTTTGGATCCTAGTTTCGAAAAGTTGCTAAATCGAAAAAGAGCTACAATGGAGACCATAGGTACGCCCCGAGACAGCGACTTGCACTTCTTCTCTGGCTGCCATAATGGGTACTGGGAGCAGCATAAGTACCTTAATTGGAGCTATCAGAAACTACAAGTATACTTGCCTTATCTATAACAACAGATGATATTTAAGTCCCATGATCCTCGAAGTATACGAGGCCTTGTTGCCGGGTCTCAAGCAAGGTGTGCCAACAGGTATCAATTCCCACTCTCTACAGATGGATTTTAGGCCCAGAGCCTTCTGAAATGTGCTCCCGAAGGTAGCATCATATGTTCTGATGGACCTAGTTCTCTCGGATGTGGATGCATCCACAAGTCGACTGTGTTCGTCTGACGCCCCCAGAAAGATGGGCAGAAGCCCTTCAAGCCGCAAGCCTAAAATCACGCCTCAACCCTAAATCCTAAACCCTAGACCCTAAACCCTAAACCCTATAAACCCTAGACCCTATAAATCCTAAACCCTATGAACCCTAAACCCTATAAGCCCCAATTCAACTGCCGCCTGTAGGCCTACAGCCTGCGGGCCAGCATCTCTTGAAGCCCGAGACTCGAGAACCCTGAACCCATAAACTCCAAACCCGTGAATCGTTTAGGGTGAAGGGGTTTAGGGTGTTGTGGGGTTTTGGGGTTTAGAGGTTTAAGGTTAAGGGTTTAGGGGTTTAGTTTAGGGCCGTTTAGGGGTTTAGTTTTTAGTGTTTAGGGGTTTAGGGTGTAAGGGGTTTAGGGTTTAAGGGTTTAGGGTTTAGGAACAATAAACCCCTAACCACAAAGCTACCCAGGTGACTGCCGGCTTGGTGGCAGGCGAACGACAATTTCCTTGTGCTTTCAGAGATGATCAGGGGCATTCCGACTAAGCAACCCAGTGGAAGCAACTCTAGTGCCCTTTTGTCCTTGTCTTTGTGGGGTCTCCTTATTGGATTATTGGACACCGAATGGTAGGTAGGAACAACGGCACCCCAGGATTACTCTAGTATTACTGTACGGGGCTACGGGGGAACCTGACCTTCAAATCACTCCAGACGAGGTGGGGTCCATCAACATGAAAACATACTGGGTTCCTGTTAAAGGATTCAGTTTAAGCTACCATAATGGGGATCTACAGTAAATAAGATGGATTCCTGATCATGGTAACTTAAAATCAACTAGCGAGAACTCAGTGTATCAGCCAGGCAAAGAGATTGCAAGCTATGGACTCAGTGAGTGAGTTTTCGGTGTTCGACCACAGGCCCTAAACCGGTTCCAGAATTCACTCCCCAACATCAGCCGATCCGCCACGAGCACAGGATTTATCACCAATCCCACCGAGACCATCCGCGTGCGCTGGCAGGCTGGGCAATTGTGTTTCGCGTTTGGGAGGTTGGGGGGGGGGGGGTTAGTATAGGTGCCCTATAGAATAGGGATCCATTGTACTCTACGTAAAACTATATAACAGGGGACCCCTAACATAGTATAGGTAACTATTAAGGCCCCTGTAGTATACGATCTAAGGCAATGCAAGGGCTTTTGGTTTTGGACGGTTGGAGCGTAACATGCCAGGATTTTTGATGTTAGAGGGCCATTCCGGCAACGTACTCGCAAATATTTATTCTACCTATAGTCTCCATTGTAGTTCCTTTTGTTACCTTACGGGGACTACAGGTACACCTCCCCCGGCTCCATTACCCCAAGACCTGAGACCCCAAACGAACCCCAAAACACAATACATCTAATATAGGGGCCTTAATAATTATTGGAATAGGGCTTTGGGGTAAACCATAACCATAAAAAGAAGGAACCACCAACATAGTACAGGATAGGTAATTAGTCAGGCCCTTAAATTAACTGGAGCAGCCAGTTGACTACTAAAGATGGAACAAAGCTTTTCTTTCTCACCAGATGCTAAGGTAACTGTAGGAAGACACAAATGTATATACATACATACATACATACATACATACATACATACATACATACACACATGCTGATCCTGCATAGCTGGCAAGGTGCTCTCCATGACTAACCCGTCT